ACTTGTTCCATAAATATGTATAGTATTAATTACCAAAAAATGTTTTAAATTGCATTTACTTTTAATTATAGTTGTACAGGAAAATTATGTAACTGATTGTTGCTGAAGGATGAAGATACATTTTGAAAACATATTACTGTTTTATTTTGGATTAAGGCTAAAAAATTATTGTCATGAGCTTGCTAAAATGGCTCAGAAACTCAATTGTTATTTCAGTCAAAATTTTACTTTAAATATAGTTATTGAAGGACAAAAAGTGACAACAGTTGCAATTTTCTCTGTTAATCACTTGTGAGATATACATATATATGTATATACATATATACATATATATACTTTTTTATTCATAGTTATTGGCTCATAACTTTCATAGTCTTCTGTTGTAACGTTAGAGTGTGTTAAGTTTCAGGAGCAGACCTCAGAAGATATATTCTCTCTTTCTGACTTCCCCTGTCCTCTCTAATCTTCTCCCACCTCTATGATTATGGGCCATAAGATCCTCCTTTCAGAAGGGGGTCCTGCCATACCCTGGAGGAAGGAATGCTGCACGGAGATGCCAAAAAGAATCTTTTTTTTTTCCATTTATTTTATTGCATTTTAGGTTTTGGGGTACATGTGAAGAACGTGCAAGATTGTTGCATAGGTACACACGTGGCAGTGTGATTTGCTGCCTTCCTCCCCATCACGTATATCTGGCATCCCTTCCTTTGCTATCTCTCAGCCTTGCTGGGTTTCCCCACTCGGTCTATCAGCATTATAGTAGATGTTAGGGATCACACCCTTTTATTCAATCACATTTCTATACATTTTCAATCATGCCTATCCAATGGAGTCCTCATAAAATGCCTAAGAGGACAGGGTATGTAGAGCTTCTGGAGAGCTCAACATGTGGAGGCTGACAGGCAGGTGAAGGAGAACTTGCCCATGGTGCCAGGAGGGTGGCACACCCCAAATCCATGTGGATAGGAGTGCCTGTGCTCTTCCAGGCCTCACACTGTATATTTTTTTAATCTGACTTTTCATATGTTTCATAAAACATATCCTTTAAAACATCCTTTATCATAAATTGATCGATAAGTGTTTCCTTGTGTTCTGTGAACTGGTCTAACAAATTAGTCAAACTCAAATAGAGGTTTGTGTGAGAATCACAGCTTGAAGCCAGTCAGTCAGAAGCTCTGGAGTTGTGGAGTTTCAACTGGTTAGAAGGCAGTGTTCTTGTGAAACTGAGCCCTGAACCTGTGGTTTCTGAGACTATCCCCTGGTAGATAGTGTCAGAACTAAATTGAATTGGAGAACACCCAGGTGGTTTTCACTGCAGAATCAATTGCTTGCTTGGGGTATGGAGTGAAACCTGCACAGATTTGGTAGTAGAAGTCTTCTGTGTTGATTGTTGTTGTTGAGAGAAGAGAGGAAAAACACAGCTTGAGTTGTTCTTTCCCACATTCATTCCCCAATGTATACATTCAGCAAACACCAAGTATAGTTTCTGAAATTATTTTTCATCTATATATTTGTTCTGATTATATGTATTTAAGTTTTATTTTACATTTGCTAAATTTATCAGTAAACATTTTTGACTTCTAATGTGTACAATTTTGTTTCCTGTAATTTTAAAAAAATTTTCTTTTACAAAAGTACTTACTTGAAAAGGACTAGAAATTTTGAAAATAGTCCGAATACAGTTAGCGTTAGAAGCATCACCATAAATAACTTGAATAAACAACAGATCATGATAAGTGCTAGAGTAAATGTAAAGATTAAATCACAAAGGCCTAAAGAGAGAGGGAAAACACTACTTGCATGACTCTTGAAAAGCGCTCCAAGTGGTTGTTACTTTTCTCATTTGATCCTCTGGACAGAGCCATGAAGTTGACATAGATCACCAAGCTTGAAGTTGTCTGACTGAAAGCCTTAACCATAAGGAACATTATAAGGAAGGGTAACACTTACTGAGGGCTCCTTGTGCTGCCAGTGTACAAAGCTGGGGTCAGCTCTCCCTATTGGAACTTCTTCCAAGTGGCCTATGCTTGCTTCCTTTATGTGGTTTCCAGATATTGTTTTAATGGAAACATGACTATTAAAGAGGAGACAGTTTTAATATTTTTAAAAATTTTAAAAATAGGTTATTGGGGAACAGGTAATATTTGATTGCATAGGTAAGTTTTTTTATTGGTGGTTTCTGAGATTTTGATGTACTTATCACATGAGAGCCATATACAATGCACCCAATTAGTAGTCTTTTATCCTTCACCCCTTCCCACCGTTTTTTCTTGAGTTCCTAAAGTCCATTATGTCATTCTTATGCATTTGTATCCTCATAGCTTAGCTCCCACTTATGAGTGACAACATACAATGCTTGGTTTTCCATTCCTGAGTTACTTTGCTGAGAATAGTAGTCTCCAATCTCTTCCAGGTTGCTGCAAATACCATTAATTCATTTCTTTTTATGGCTGAGTAGTATTCCATTGTATGTGTATATATACCACAGTTTCTTTATTCATTTGTTGATTGATGGACATTTGGGTTGGTTCCATGTTTTTACAGTTGCAAATTGTGCTGCTATAAACATGCATGAGCAAGTATCTTTTTGGTATAATGACTTCATTTCTTCTGGGTAGATACCCAGTAGTGAGATAGCTATATCAAATGATAGTTCTACTTTTAGTTCCTTAAGGAATCTCCACACTGTTTTTCATAGTGGTTGTACTTGCTTACATTCCCACCAGCAGTGTAAACGTGTTCCCTTTTCATCGCATCCATGCCAACATCTATTATTTTTTGATTTTTTGATTTTTTGATGATGGTCATTCTTATAGGAGTGAAGTGGTATCACATGGTGGTTTTGATTTGCATTTCCCTGATCATTAGTGATGTTGATCATTTTTTATATGTTTGTTAGTCATTTGTATGTCTTCTTTTGATAATTGTCTATTCATGTTCTTGTCCTGCTTTTGATTGGATTGTTTATTTATTGCTAATTTGTTTGAGTTCATTGCAGATTCTGGATAGTAGTCCTCTGTCAGATGTATTGAATGTGAAGATTTTCTCCCATTCTGTCAGTTTTCTGTTTACTCTGCTGACTGTACCTTTTGTTGTGCAAAAGCTCTTTAGTTTAATTAAGTCTCAGTTGCTTATCTTTGTTTTTATTGCATTTGCTTTTTGGTTCATGGTTGTGAAATCTTTGCCAGCCAATGTCTAGAAGAGTTTTCCTGATGTTATCTGCTAGAATTTTTATACTTTCAGGTTTTAGATTTAAGTCCTTGATCCATCTTGAGATGATTTTTGTATAAGGTAAGTGATGATGATCCAGTTTAATTCTCCTACATGTGGCCTGTCAATTATTCAAGGACCACTCATTGAATAGGGTATCCTTTCCCCACTTTATGTCTTTGTTTGCTTTGTCAACAATTGGTTGGCTGTAAGTATTGGGTTTATTTCTGGGATTTCTATTCTGTTCCATTGGTCTATGTGTCTATTTGTATACCAGTACCATGCTGTTTTGGTGACTATGGCTTTATAGTATAGTTTGAAATCAGGTAATGTGATGCCTCCAGATTTGTTCTTTTTGGTTAGTCTTGCCTTGGCTATATAGGCTCTTTTTTGATTCCATATAAGTTGTAGAATTGATTTTGTAGTTCTGTGGAGGATGATGTTGGTATTTTGATGGAAATTACATAAACATACAAGAAATAGCACTATGAATGGAATAGTAACTCACATCTCAATACTAATATTTAATGTAGATGGCCTAAATGCTTCATCTAAAAGATACAGAATGACAGAATGGATAAGAATTCACCAATTATCTGCTGCCTTCAAGAGACTCACCTAACCTTAAGGTAAAGTGGTGGAAAAAGACATTCCATGCAAATTGTGACCAAAAGTGAGCAGGAGTAGCAATTCTTATATCAGACAAAGGAAACTTTAAAGCAACAGCAGTTAAGAAAGACAAAGAGAGACATTATGTAATGATAACAGGCTTTGTTCAACAGGAAAATATCACAATTCTAAATATATATTCACCTAACACTGGAGCTCCCAGATTTATAAAATAGCTGCTACTAGACCTAAGAAATGAAATACACAGTGACACAATAATAGTGGGGGACTTCAATACTCCACCGACGGCACTAGACAGGTCATCAAGACAGAAATTCAACAAAGAAACAATGGATTTAAATTACACCCTAGAACAAATTAACTTAACAGATATTTACAGAACATTCTATCCAGCAACTGCATAATATACATTCTATTCATCAGCATATGGAACTTTCTCCAAGACAGAGCACATGATAAGCCACAAAATGAGCCTCAATAAATTTAAGATAATTGAAATTATATCAAGCACTCTCACAGTCCACACTGGAATAAAACTGGAAATCCACTCCATAAAGAGCCTTCAAATACACGGAAATTAAATAACCTGTTCCTAAATGATCATTGGTCAACTATGAAATCAAGATGGAAATTAAAAAATTTTTCAAACTGAATGCAAGTAGTGACACATCCTATCAAAACCTCTGGGATATAGTAAAGGCAGTACTAGGAGGAAAGTTCAGAGCTCTAAATGCCTACATCAAAAAGTCTGAAAGAGCAAAAACAAACAAACAAAGTTCACACTTCAAGGAACTGGAGAAACAAGAACAAACTCAAACCCAGCAAGAGAAGGGAAATAAAAAAGATCAGAGCAGAACTAAATGAAATGGAAACAACAGCAAAAAACAATACAAAAGATAAACAAAAAGCTGGTTCTTGAAACAATAAATAAAATTGATAGACATTAACGAAATTAACCAAGAAAAGGTGAGAGGAAATTCAAATAAACTCAATCAGAAATGAAATGGGAGATATTACAACTGACACCACAGAAATACAATAGGTCATTCAAGGCTACAATGAACACCTTTATGCACATAAACCGGAAAACCTAGAAGAGGTAGATAACTTCCTGGAATTATATAACCCTCCTACCTAAGAAGAGGAAGAATTAGATACCCTGAACAGACCAACAAGTAGGGAGACTGAAAATGGTAATAAAAAAAGTTTTATAGTTTAAGTCTCTGCATGTATATCTCTAATTTTTACTCCAAATATACAAGATACATTAGTGTGTGGGAAATGGATATATGTTTGATGTTTATGTAAGAAGTAGTATCCAAGAAGAGCACAGATTGAATTGTGACCTTATGGGTCATCTATTAAAACAGGAGCAAGCCAATGTTTTACCTTTTGAGGTGAGCAGATTGCTTGAGTGGAGTTAGAATCCTTACATATGACTTTGGCACAACAGTTGCGTAGCCTGCCGAGCAGAATTTAGACAGTACAGGGAAGTGATGATAATGGCTAGAAGAAGAGTAGAAAGGGAGAGAAACAGGTGAAAATGACACACATTCAGGAGGTGGGTCAGTGGGGGCAAAATATAGTACCACAAAAACAAGATCTACAGAATGATAAAGTGTAAAGCCATATTTACAATTTATGGACATGCAAAAATATTCAATATATTGTTTAAGAGTACAGAAAGTTTAAGCCAAGCTACAAAGAAAGGCAGTTGATTCATGAACATAAAATTTAGAAGAGTGTCTACTGAGGGGGTGGTTCTTTGGTACAGGGGGTGGGACCCACAGAATGAGGCTAAGGTAACTACTGCTGTGTTTCTTAAGACACGTGATGGCTATGCTGGGTTTCTTTAGTTAATTATCTTTCTGCTTCGAGTACACAGTTTGTGTATTTCCTCTAGTGAGTCAGATATTTTATTTTACTTTATTGAAATAAGAAAAGTAACCGACATAGAAACCTTAATTTATACTGATCATTTTTGAGAGCCTGGGCTATAGTACTGAACCTGTTTTCTATCAGGCTCTTTTCTATTTTTATTTAAAAAATAAGAAATATTTTAAATAGTTCTAATTTCTATAAAGAAAGAACTGCTCCCTTGATCCCCAAGTTCAGATCCCAAATGTCAGAGCCTCTTCCATCCATATCAACATCCCCAGGCTGCTATTCCCCAAAGCCAAACCATTTTACTCACCTGGGAGCTCCAGTCCTCCCTGCTCCTGCTAATCAGAGCTGCACACCTTGGCTGTCAGCACCTGAGTGGCCAATAAGATCAGGAGTAGGGTAAACACAGCCGACATGGCCAAGGCAGTGGAGGCTTGTTTACTGTCACCATGGGAACCTCTAAAGGTTCTTTAAGGGGGTGGGGCCAAAAGCTGGGGCGGAGTCAGAACAACAGGGGCAGCAGCACGTCTCTGATCCCTCCACACGCAGTGATTTTGAGAAGCTTTTCTGCTTGGCTACTCAGACGCAGTTCACCCCTCTGTCCTGGAAATGTGCCTCAATTAATTTCTCCCAAGAAGGTGGGACCTCTGGCTCAACTGAACAGATAGAGGTGAGATGGGTGAGAGGGAAGCAAGGGTGGAGGGAGTCAAGGGCTGTTGCTGTGTGAGTGTCTCTGGATCAGAGGCCACTTGAAGAGAGGTTCAGGTGATGTAATCACAAGTGGGGGTGGGGGAGCAAGAGGTCACAAGGGTCAGATTATGACACACCTGGAGTGGAGCTGGGGATTGGCCAGGCAGAGGGGCTTGATAAAAGCCAGGTTGCCAGGGAGTGAGCCTGGCAGAGAGAGGCTGGGCATGAAGGGATGGGGTGAAGGCATGGTGATTGTGTTCTGGCTTCTGTTCCAGGGCCCTTTCATGGAGACTTATTTCCCATGGTCCTCTTCCAAGAAAATTCTCTCCACTCTCTCACCTGCATCCTGCCCTGAGTCTCAGGCTCTGATTGCAATCTATAGTCTACAGCTTCCCTCTCCCCATTTCCCAACCCACAGCTTTCTCAGTTCCTGGCTGCAAGGGTTTTACATCCTCTACTCAATTTCAAAAATTTCTCCTGGCACCAGCTTCTCTACCCAGCATCTTTGGTCTACCTGTCAGTCCTCTCCTGTGTTTCCTGTCAGTCTGGAAATCCAGATTACTGTGATGAATAGGCTGCTTGCATTTTCTGAATCACTATGTTGATGAGAAATGCATCCTATAAGAGGTAACAAAGCTTCACACAAGGTCATTTTGAAGATGACAGTGAGGAGGACATAAGTGCTCTAGGATCAATATGTGAGGCTGCCACAAACATGCTATAGTTTGCACATTCTTGCAGAGAGGCAGAAGAGCCTGCTTGGGAGAGAAGCCTCAAAATCATGGCTAGTGTCTTGACAGAATTTATTCTGGCCCCCGGAATGGTATACAAGACACCTTCAGGAGAAGGTATTTTGCTGGCCACTCTTAACTCCTAGAAGAAACAGATGCCGTGACTTTGAAATATTGGAAAGTGAATGTAAAATGGAGAACCTCTGAAGACAGCAGAGCCCAATGAAGATAAATGGCATTGCTCATCATTGAAGTCAGGTAGCATGATGCCTCCAGCTTTGTTCTTTTTGCTTAGAATTGTCTTGGCTATGTGGGCTCTTTTGGTTCTATATGAATTTTAAGGTGTTTTTTTCCAGTTCTGTGAAGAGGGTCATTGGCAGCTTGATGGGGATAGCGTTGACTCTATAAATTACTTTGGGCAGTGTAGCCATTTTCACAGTATTGATTCTTCCTAACCATGAACATGGAATGTTTCTCCGTCTATTTGTGTCTTCTCTTACCGAGCAGTGGTTTATAGTTCTCCTTGAAGAAGTCCTTTACATCCTTTGTTAGTTGTATTCCTAGGTATTTTATTCTGTTTGTAGCAATTATAAATGGGAGTTTGCTCTTGATTTGGCTCTCTTTAAGTCTGTTATTGGCCTGTAGAAATGCTTGTGATTTCTCCACATTGATTTTGTATCCTAAAACTTAGCTGAAGTTGCTTATCAGTTTCAGGAGATTTTGGGCTGAAATGATGGGGTCTTCTAAATATACAATCATGTCGTCTGTAAATAGAGATAACTTGACCTCCTCTTTTCTTAATTGAATACCTTTATTTCTTTTTCTTGCCTGATTGCTCTGGCTAGAACTTCCAATACTATATTGAATAGGAGTGGTGAGAGAGGGCTAGTGCCAGATCCTTGTCTAGTGCCAGATTTCAAAGGGAATGCTTCCAGTTTTTGCCCATTCAGTATGATATTGGCTGTGGGTTTGTCATAAATAGCTTTTATTATTTTGAGATATGTTCCATTGATACCTAGTTTATTGAGAGTTTTTAGCATAAAGGGCTGTTGAATTTTGTTGAGATCTTCTCTGCATCTACTGAGATAATCATGTGGTTTTTGTCTTTGATTCTGTTTATGTGGTGTATTACGTTTATAGACTTGCATATGTTCAATCAGCCTTGCATCCCCGGGATGAAGCCTACTTGATCGTGATGGATTAGCTGTTCGATGTGCTGCTACAGTCAGTTTGCCAGTATTTTATTGAAGACTTTTACATCTATGTTCATCATGAATATTGGCCTGAAGTTTTCTTTTTTGGCTGAGTCTCTGCCAGATTTTGGTATCAGGATGATATTGGTTTCATAAAATGATTTGGGAGGGATTCCGTCTTTTTGTATTGTTTGGAATAGTTTCAGAAGGAGTGATACCAGCTCCTCTTTGTACATCCAGTAGAATTCAGCTGTGAACCCATCTGGACCTGGGCTTTTTTTGGTTGGTAGGCTATTAATTGCTGCCTCAACTGCAACCCTTGATATTGGTCTATTCAGGGTTCCAACTTCTTCCTGGTTTAGGCTTGGGAGGGTGCAAGTGTCCAGGAATTTATTCATTTCTTCCAGGTTTACTGCTTTATGTGCATAGAGTTGTTTGTAGTAATTTCTGATGGTAGTTTGTATTTCTGTGGAATCAGTGGTGATATCCTCTTTATCATTGTTTATTGTATCTATTTGATCTTCTTTCTTTTCTTTTTTTTTAATTCATCTGGCTAGCAGTCTATTTCATTGATCTTGTCAAAAAAACCAGCTCCTGGATTTATTGATGTTTTGAAGTGTTATTTGTATCTCTATCTCCTTCAGTTCTGCTCTGATCTTAGTTATTTCTTGTCTTCTGCTAGCTTTTTAATTTTTTTTATTTTTATCTTGCTCCTCTAGCTCTTTCAATTTTGATGATAAGGTATTGATTTTAGATCTTTCCTTGTGTCTCATGTGGGCATTTATTGCTATCAATTTCCCTCTAGACTTTGATTTAAATGTGTCCCAGAGATTCTGGTGTGTTGTGTATTCATTCTCGTTGGTTTCAAATAACATCTTTATTTCTGCCTTCATTTCATTGTTTATACAGTCAACATTCAAGAGCCATTTGTGTGGTTCTGAGTTAGTTTCTTAATCCTGAGTTCTAATTTGATTGAACTGTGGTCTGAGAGACTGTTTTTTATTTCCATTTTTTTTTGCATTTGCTGAGGAGTGATTTACTTCCAATTATGTGGTCAATTTTAGAGTAGGTACAATATGGTGCTGAGAAGAATGTATATTCTGTGGATTTGGGGTGGAGAGTTCTGTAGATGTTTATTAGATTTGCTTTGTCCAAATCTGAGTTCAAGTCCTGGATATCCTTGTTAATTTTCTGTCTCGTTGATCTGTCTAATACTGACAGTGGAGTGTTAAAGTCTCCCACTATTATTATGTGGGAGTCGAAGTCTCTTTGTAGGTCATTAAGAACTTGCTTTATGTATCTGGGTGCTCCTGTATTGAGTGCGTTTATGTTTAGGATCGTTAGCTGCTCTTGTTGCATTGATCCTTTTACCATTATGTAATGCCCTTCTTTGCCTCTTTTGATCTTTGTTGGTTTAAAGTCTATTTTATCAGAGACTAGGATTGCAGCTCCTGCTTTTTTTTTTTTTTTTTTTTTTTTGGCTCTCTGTTTGCTTGGTAAATCTTCCTCCATCCCTGTATTTTGAACCTATGTGTGTCTTTGCACATGAGATGGGTTTCCTGGATATAGCACGCCGATGGGTTTTGACTTTTTGTCCAATTTGCCAGTCGGTGTCTTTTAATCGGGGCATTTAGCCCATCTACATTTCAGGTTAACATTATTATGTGTGAATTTGATCCTGCCATTTTGACGCTAGCTGGTTGTTTTGCCCGTTAGTTGTTGCAGTTTCTTCATTTTGTCTATGGTCTTTACCATTTGGTACGTTTTGGAGTGGCTAGTACTGGTAGTTCCTTTCTATGTTTAGTGCTTTTTCAGGAGCTCTTGTAAGGCAAGCCTGGTGGTGACAAAATTTCTCAGCAATTGCTTGTTCATAAAGGATTTTATTTCTCCTTCGCTTATAAAGCTTAATTTGGCTGGATATGAAATTCTAGGAATTCTAGGTTGAATGTTCTTTTCTTTAAGGATATTGAATATTGGCCCCCACACTCTTCTGGCTTGTAGGGTTTCTGCTGAGATCTGCTGTGAGTCTGATAGGCTTCCCTTTGTGGGTGACCTGACCTTTCTTTCTGGCTGCGCTTAGCATTTTTTTCTTCATTTCAACCCTGGTGAATGTGGCGATTATATGCCTTGGGGTTGCTCTTCTTGAGGAATATCTTTGTGGTGTTCTCTGTATTTCCTGGACTTGAATGTTGGCCTGCCTTGCTAGGTTGGGGAAGTTCTCCTGGATAATATCCTGAAGAGTGTTTTCCAGCTTGGATTCATTCTCTCCATCATATGTATGTATTATTTATATACTGGTAAGTTAGCTTTTTAAAAAGCTATAGGTACAAGTTTTAACTATTACTTATTTTTATATTTGCCTCTGCATGCCTAAATACATTTGTTTTACTCTAAGTTATTACAAAAAATGACCTAAAACAGGAAAAAAAAAGAGTCATTTTTATATAAAATGACTGGCATATTTTATGCTTAGACTGTAGACCTTTCTTTTTGTGATTTAATTCTATTAAATTTTGGTGCTTTTTAAAATGCTCTTAAATCAGTTTTTAAGAAATTTTGTGTTTACTTTTCTTAATTTATTTTTAATTAGCATAGTTATCTACAAGGTATTTATAATGTTGCCTGAAATTATCTGACCTTAGATATGATTTATATCCTGCCTTTTTAAATGATTTTTTAACCCTTCCAAAATTCAGAATAATTTTGCTCTTTCACCCTATAAAATAAAGTAAAATTGGAACAATTAGGTTTGTTGAAACTCTTCAGATTTTAAATAACTCAAAACTGTTACAGGAGTCCTTCAACTTTGGGATTTAAAAACATATAAAAAATTCTCCAGATCTGTCAAATTCAGAAGGGAGCTGATGTTAATTTTATATTAGTAAAAAGTATTATTAGAATTAGCTTTTAGTTATTGTATACTTTTCAAGTTAAATGAAGTATGTTCCTTTTTAAGCATAAACACAGAAACAATAACTATTAAAAGACTTTTCTCCAAGATCCTAGATTCACAAATCCCTTTTTACTTTTTTTTTTAATAAAAATTCTCAATAAGT